ACCAGTCTGATGGATGTAGAAAGGGATTATCTTTCCATAGATAAGCGATATCCCAGACTCTTTATACCCTCAGAGTTCTGCAAGGTATGTTTTCATTTCTCATTCATTGGTTATGGACACATAGTTAAGTACATACTTTAAGTGAGGTTTGTATTGTTTTAGGTTGTTGTGAACTGGCCAAGGGAGAACCTTCAACTGTCTATCCATACACCTGTCAGGTAATTTGCTTGTTGAAGCTGTGTCAGTTAATTAATTTTCTGGAGTTCTTATTCTGCTTTAGGATATATAATCCCGAAGTGTCTTAAAAAGAGGAACATTAATTTTTTATTTAAAGAAACTAGAAGGAATGAAAGTGTAATTGTACTACCTTGTTGAGTGGCACAGTTTTGAGCATGATTTTGTTGAAGAAGATGGTGCAGCTAAGCTGCCAGAGCCAGTCACTGAAATGTTGGTTGAAGTACCTGAAAAGTCAAGACGTGGAGATATAGTGTGGAATGCGAAGGTAAGCCACTAAAATGTTGGTTGAGTGAAATTGTAATTGTACCACCTTATTATTTTGTTTCTGCCATAGCAGTGATTGTTTTGCTTGAGCAGTATTTTCTGTTGTTTACTTTCTCCTTTCAGATTATCTTGATGAGCGGACTTAGCAGGAATGCTTTGGAAGAGCTGTCATCTGAAAGAGGTTCCGATGATCGCATATCTCACATCTGCAATATCCTTAGGTTTGCCGTTCTCAAAAAGGACCGTTCATGCATGGCAATTGGTGGTCCATGGAATCCTGCTGATGGTGGAGATCCATCAGTTGATGATAGTGCTTTGATTCAAACTGCCGTAAGGTGTGTGCTGTCTGTTATCTGTTATAAAGATACAGATTACAAAGAGTAGTAGTATTTTTTTATATTTGTTTGAATGAGTTTTTCTTTGCAGATATGGAAAGGATGTTGCTAAACTTGATCTGCAGAACTGCAAGCACTGGAATCGTTTTCTTGAGGTAATTTTTGCATGTAATGGTTGTGATAGTTACCTAGTTTCCACTTGCAAGGCCTTTTAACTTTGCAGGTTTTTAGTTCATGACTAATTCGTCAGTTCCATCTGAAATTTGCAGATACACTATGACAGAATTGGTAATGATGGACTCTTTAGCCATAAAGAAGTGACTGTAATATTTGTCCCAGATTTGTCTGAATGTCTCCCTTCATTGGATTTATGGAGAGACCGCTGGCTTGCTCACAAGAAAGCTGTTGCAGAAAGAGAGCGTCAACTTTCTTTGAAAAGAGAGGTTTGTTGCTTCTATTGTTTGAAATTGCAGTTTCCCTGGATTTTGTATAGTTTTATTTTCGGTAAAATGGTTTGGGATATGTTTTCTTTGTTTCAGTATTTACTTATTTTAGCATTTATGACAAGCATGATGTAATCATGCTATCCTACAGTGGAACTATTTAAACATGGGTCCTACTGCTGATTAAGAAGATTTAGTAAAATTGTTTTGGGATTAACTACATGGAATCCTATATTTACCTGTAAACCCTGCTGCTGATCATTGGTACACACACATTTGAGAACTTGATGTCAAAGTACTTTTAAGAGCAAACTTGCCATGTTGTTAACCATTGGATGGAAAATAAGAAGTAAAATGATAGGATCAGAGGATGCAAGCTTATAGTAATGCTTTTATTAACTTTTGGGCTTTCATCCAACAGCATGGTCTTCTTGACCACTCTTTTTGACTGAAGCTCTTGAACACTCCATAAATGCTTTTCTAGTATCATATTGTCTCTTTTTATTTATTTTCCCAAAACATTTAACAACAGGATTTAGGTTGACCAGCTTATTGTTTACTTGCTTTTTAACACTAGCATGTTTGTTCTTTCAGAGGTCACGGGACAAAGAAGGGCTGCAAGGTAAATGGAGTTTGTATTCTTGTTGTGTATGATGTTGCATTTTTTTGATTTGATGTTCATCAATAATCTAGTTTATCATCACACCTATGTTGGTTTTTGATTCAGACAAGGAAACGGAACCATCAAAACACAAAAAAGTTGAGAAAGACGATAAAAAGAAAGAGTCTGCATCCACTGGAGATGCAAAAGAAGTTAAGAAAATGGAGCAAGATGGTAATAATTTGAAAGGGAATGCATCTGAAGGAAAGAGTGATGTGAATGACAAGAAGCTTGAGAAAAAAGATGAGACTGGAGCAGACAAAGCCAAGATTGAGGATAAAAAGGAACACATAGAAATTGCCGAAGTTCAGACAACGGGAACTGTGAAGACTGGGAAGAAGAAGATTATAAAGAAGGTTGTCCGACAGAAGGTTGTTGGTAAGTCAACTAATGATAGTACAACCAAGCAGCCTGAAAGTCTCAGTGAAGGAGGAACGAAAGGTAATTCGGAGACTCCTGGTCCAGAGGAGGAACCTTCTGCTGATCCTGCAGCAGTGAAAACCTTTGTGAGGAAAAAAGTTATTAAAAAGGTTCCAGTGGCGAAGGCTGCTCAGAATGAGGATAATACTGGCCCAAAGGTCAAAGATGAGAAGGATGCCAGCTGCTCTGAGGAGAAAGCTGATCCACCGAGCGGTGTTACAAATACAAGTGGGAAAACAATTGTAAAGAAGAAAGTAATTAAGAGGGTACCTAAAAGAAAGGTCACTGGTGTTGAACTGAATGAAGGGGTTGCTAAGAGTACGAAAGATGGTGACGGGGATGAGAAAAATGTTGCTGGAGATGATAGTATGGGGAAGCAAACAGCAGATGTAGAAAAGCCAGCAAGCGATGCTGTAGAAACAGAAAAAAAGGTTGCTTCTAAACCAAAGGCTTCAAAAACACAAGTCAGTGACAAGCAAATTGATGCGGCCAATTCAGCTAAAGCTGATGCAAAGGATGTTAAGGAGGAAAAGAAAGATGAGAAGGCAGCTGGTGAGAATAGTGGCTCTGTGACTAAAGTGGAGACTGCGACAGACACGCAAAAAGCTCCTAAGAAAAAGTTGAAAGATGCGGAAAAATCAAAAGAGGAGAAGGAGAAAAAAGACCGAGATGGGAAAGATGATTCTAAAAGCAAATCAAATAAAGAGATGAAAGAGAGAAAGCCTGAAGAAACTCCTCGACACCCTGGATTTATCCTACAAACAAAGTGGAACAAGGATTCTAAAGTAGGTTTACTATAGCCTGAATAGTACAGTTTGTTTACTGTATGCATTACCTATATTTGCATGTTAACCTCATCTATTATTCGTTGCTCACTCTTTCTAATCGTGAGTTAATCTGGCAACAGCTTCGTTCGTCATCACTTTCACTTGATTTGCTATTGGACTATACCGACAAGGACATTGAAGAATCAAGTTTTGAGGTATGTTTTCTCATGGCATCTATTGGTCTTAATGTCTGCCTTAATTCTATGACCGACCTTTTGGATCCGTGTTCTCTTTGCTAATTTCTCATTATGCCTGTAGCAAAATAGAGCTAATTGTTCCTTCCTTTTTCCCTCCTCCTTTTCAGCTTTCACTTTTTGGTGAAACGCTCTATGAAATGCTTCAATATCAGATGGGGTGTTGTCTTTTGACATTTCTACAGGTTGGTTTGACACAGTTAATCTGAGCACGGATATGATTTAATGTTTTTTCTTGGTGACGTTAGTATCCTCATTTATGTAGTTTGTTTTTTCAGAAGTTGCGCATAAAATTTGTGACCAAGAGAAACCAACGTAAGAGGCAAAGAGAAGTAGAAAAACTTGAGAAAGAAAATGACGAAAAATCAGCAGCTAAGCGCCCTAAAGTGAACGAGCAAGAAAATGATGAAAAATCACCTGCTCAGCACCCTAAAGTGAATGAACTCCCTGTGAAGAACCAGGCTGTTAAATCATCGGAAACGTTGAGTTCATCTGAGCCAGGTGGCGAGAAACAAGATGAAGGAAAAACAGTTCCCCAAGATAATAGCTCTGTTGATCATGTCGGTGAGGTGAAGATGGAGCCTACAGCAGATGAAGAAGAAGAAGACCCAGAGGAAGATCCAGAAGAAGATGAAGAAATGGAGGATGCTAGTCCTCCACATCACTCCTCTAATGAGAACAGTGAAGAGGGGAAGAGCAATGTCGATCCAGTGACTGGAAATGAGAAGGATGAACTAAATGTCAAGGAACAAGATAACAAGAAGGCTGCAGAAACAAAGGCCAAGAACGAAGCAGATGCAGGTGAAAGAATAGAGGGGAAGGTGGATTCAGGTAAGAAAGAAACTCCCAAGGCAAAAGAGGTTGTTGACAAGGAACTATTGCAGGTATCTTCCGGAAGCTTTCTACCTTTATTATTATAGTTCGATTGTGAACAGTTGCGCTCCCTCGATCAATGCATTAATCCCATCCTTTTGCTTTTTATTCTTTTTCCATCTGAAACAGGCATTTAGGTTCTTTGACAGGAATCAAGTCGGCTACATCAGGGTAAGATGCAATCTTCAGTGCATATATTGTTTTGTGGTCTTATTAGAGAAAACTGATTTGTTTACCGAAAAATAAAAGCGAGAGAACTGAATTGTTTTAGTTACTTTTTCAGGTTGAAGATATGAGATTGATAATCCACAACTTGGGAAAATTCCTCTCCCACAGGGATGTCAAGGTGAGAATCATGTGAATTTCTTTACGTTTTTTGCCTCAGTTCTTTCTTCGTATTATTTCCGTTGACAGTCTAGTCATGCTTGGTTTCTCTGCATCAGGAACTTGTGCAGAGTGCATTATTAGAGAGCAACACCGGGAGGGACGACCACATTCTTTACAAAAAGCTCGTTCGGATGACCGACATTTGAGATTTTAAGCTATTTGGATTCCAAATTTCTTGTATTTTCCTTTGACGGCCACATTTTTTTACAGAGAGCTCGTTCAGATGACTGACATTTGCGGTTTTAAGCCATTTGGATTCCGAATTTTTTTTGTATATTTTCCTTTGACGATTTCTCACAAGGATAGGAGGGAATGAACTTAAAGATGGGGCTTTCAATGTTAACAATTAAATTTGTTTCCCTTATAGCATTGGTTAAGGAATGCCTAAACCAACAAGGCTCTTAATTGCTTGCTTTTTCACTACTTTCCCGTACACCCCTCTTCCCAACTTCAAAGCTCTCTCCATCTCCAACATTCCTCCACCACCTCTCTTCAACTTCTCTGCCACCATCCTCAACACCCTCTCGTCGCTTCCCACCGCTTGCACGACGCTATCAACCTCCGTTTCCATCGGTGGTATGCGTCTTCCCCACCCTTTTGCTGATTTCTCTGTGCCATAAACCTGAGAGCATGCATCCCAAAACGATGCTCTCAAGTACCCTTTCTCCCTTTCCTTCACGATCCACCTCCTCATGCCTTCCTCCAGCTTATAAACCGCAGCGCCGGCCTCCATTCTTCTTTCGAGACCCATCTCAATCTCTCTCACGTCTTCTCTAGAATACAGTTTCTTCTCGAACTTGCACCTCTTGCAGTTACATCTAAAACCCCATGTCTTGCAACTTTCGTTGCGCTTTTCCAACGGCGAAAGCACATCAAAATATGCGAATGTTATCTCCTCTCCGGCCTTGACATCTCTAGAAGCATGGACCATTACATAATCTCCTATATGCATACGTCTTGCATTCGGAACACATGAATGGTTGATGAATGAAGCCAGCACCCACAGCCCAACACCGTAGTAATCGCTGTTCTTCCCCAAAATCTTGGAAGAAATTCCACCCTCAACAAGTGAATTGACATCCAAGATGCTCAAAATCCTGCTCGCATCAAGCTCATTCTCATTATGGCAGCCGCCATTGTGCTCCGCCTCGGGCTTAAAGAGATCGATCTCAGGGACCTCAAGCTCATCCTCATCTTCTCCACTCGACAATGTACTAATCAAATCGCGGATTCTCGAACTTTTAGCCATGGAATCCATAACTTTTTCGGTGAAGTTCTTCCACATGAGCAATTGGGCATTCTCATCCAATTCTTGACCGGGCAAAATCCCCCTCTCTATGGCAACAGCTTTCGTAACCAACATCAAAGTTCCGACATCAATGTTCTTCGTCGCAAACAGTCCACGCCCTCTAATCTCTGATTTCTTGATCTGCACTGCACCAATGTACTCAGCCGGTTCCAGAGGCTTCCCGCGAAACCCGTTAACAACCCATTCAGAGAGATCAAAAGCTCCAGTTCTCGACATCAGCTCGAGCTTCTTGGACTTCTGCAAGTACCCATCGAGGTCCACCGAGCTCCCATTAGCCTGCGGGTCAAGCTGAGCTGTTCGAAAGCAGTCCAGCGCCATCGAATACCTGTTCAGATTCAGCAAGATTTTCCCTTTGCAGACAAGAGTCTTGAAATGGGCCCTCTCGATTTCCAATGCCCGATCGCAATCCCTCAAAGCTTCTGCAAAATCTCGGAGTCTGGATCGCGCTTCTGCACGGTTCGAGAGGGCTAGGCAGAGAGATTTTCGGAGCTTGGGGAGATGATCTGGGTCGGGGTTTTGAAGGGTGTTTGAGATGTGAGATCGACAGAGGGTGATGAAGTGAGAGTATGCTTGTACGGACTCCTGCCATTCTTCACGGAGGAGGAGCTCCGTGGCTTTGGATCGGAGCTGCTGCAATTGCTCTTCTGCCGCCGCCATTGCTAGCTGATCTTGCTGTTCGGTTTCTTCTCTCATCTCTGAATTTTCGATTCTGTTGGGGTTACTGAGGGTTTCGGTTCCCTATAGTTTTTGAATTTGGGATTACATGTAACGGTCACATTGCCTTTTTTCTTTTCTTTTTTTTTGATCCAACACATTGCCTTTTCTTTTTCTGCATTTTTTGTAACGTTAAACGGATATGTCGATCTTGACGAGGCCGTAAGATATGGCCAGTAAATAAAGCAGAACGACGTCGTGGAGATTATCACAGATATAGAATGTATAGATTCAATACGATAAATCTCTGAGTGCATACTGATAAATCTCTCACATGATGAACCTAATGTAGAGGATTCAATGGACCTAATTTAAAAGATTACGAAAAGATTTTAGAGAGACCAAAACGGAAAACAACGCATTGTGTACGAAATGAAGCCGATGCATTTTGCCAAGCTCTATAAATTTACCAAATGATTAGGGTGCTAAAGAATACATTGCAAATCTGTTTAGTAATTACTTTTTCAAAACGTACATTCCATCTCTTAGTTCTAACTTCTCTTCGGAGACTAGACCCGATAAGAAACTCTGTAGCTGCTGGAGAGTTTTGTCGTAAGGTGGATCCGCTATACAGAACATCTGCAGGAATGTGTGTGTGGAGATATATTAAAAACAGCTTTGCAGAAACTAAATATCGCGGGGAATGTTGAAATCATCCTTACCTTGAGAGTATTATGAATTCGATCTAATGCCATGCTTCCGAAGTTTGTGAGCATCCCCAAGATAAATTTCTGCAACAAACCAAATACCGTTTCAAAAGCTGGGAACAGAAAGGCATCATGCGTTTAACAGTTTACATACGCAAGATCAATACTCGACACAATTATCCAGCACTATCTGGAAAATAGTGTCATGAGCGGCAATTTTGCCCCCTTACCCTCGTATCTACAGATGACAATACATTACTGAAAGCAAGATTGGAAAATCTCGAAGACATCACATACCTCATACACAGTCATTTCCTTGCACAGTTGATCCTCTACCGAAGCCACAGAGCTCTCTCCCTCCTCATCACCAACTACAAGATCCTCAATGCTCCCATTGTTACCACCATTTTTACCGGTGTCAACCATGCCTTCCATTAGTGTAAACATGTGGTCTTCAGAGTCTGCACCGGGTGATTCTGCAAGAATTCCCTTTATAGGAAAAAAGAGACGAGTGCATGAGCCTTCTTCTTGACTTCCAAATCTCAAAACTTCAATTAATAACAGGTAAGGATCCATTTTAACTAACTGCTGGTGCTGAATCCAAAGTTTCTAATACTCTTTATCTATTTATGTACTGAATGACGAGAAGCACATCGTGAAACATGAAAGTATTGAGTTTATCAAGCATACCTTGCTGATCCAGAAATTTATCCTGCGATTAAGTATGTCTACTGGAACCCCAATTGCAGCTGCAAGATCCTTAGAGGTCCAGCTGAAAGTAGACAATATAAATATAGCAAAAAATAGGTAACGAATAACAAAGTGTATTAAGATATTTCTGATGATACCTTGTCTGATCTTGAAATTGCATTATAATTGCTGCTTGTATGGGAGCAACCATGAATTGCACTGCCCTATTGTCGAATTGCAACTCCAACTAAAACAGCACCAACCACCATACGTGTTGTTAACGTAGATTAAGTGATTCAAGGGAATAAAGAAAAAGTAAGCAGGTCAAAAAACTCCTAATAGAAAGGGCTTGAGATGACATTGTGCAAGCACCGTACCTTGACAGTACCAAGACTTTTCTTCCATAATAGTTTACGGGGTGTCTTGATTTCATTAAACCTCTTTGCATAATCAGATAGTAGTTGGTCAACAGGCCCAGGTACATTGAGGGACTCATCCTGAAATTTATATAAAGATACTTCAAATTAGAAGCATGCAAATCCATGATCCAAGATCTTTTCCCTCTATCAAAAACTTCAACATAAATGATATTACCAGAGGAAACAATTCATTACCTGGATTTGAGGCCAGAAATTTGAAGAGATGATTGTAGCATCAAAATTATCCATGGACACCCCTTTATCTCCCAGATCAGTACCTAAGACATCCACCCCAAGTTAGCGGAATCAAATAAAATAACTGGTCTTCTCGTAATGCTGGAGAGAGAAGTCCCAAAGCCATCACTCATGGGGGAAACCTAAAATTTGAAAGATACCCATTTGAGATGGCTGACTTATGGTTGCTTTAATATTGCTGTTAGTCCTCTTAGAATCAATCAGATCATTCAGCATAATCTCGCATTTCTGCATGCTGCTCTCTCCAAAATGTATCTGAAGAATGATTACACATTAAAATAGACAGTATAAACACAAAATAAATAAATCCTAACTTCATCCAGTAGACCCAATTAAATAAAGAAACCACAAGTTTAAATAATAATTAAAAGAAGCACTTGCCTTGAGGAGCTCAAGAGTACGTATCTCTGTATCAATGTCATAATCAGATTTGTTGAGAAGCTTTTCAGCCAGCATAACACGGTACTCATTAACGAGTTGATCTTTTGAACCAATTATGCCAACAATCATCCCAAGTATATCAACCTTCCTTCGGTTCCTGCTACCCTTCAAGGGATCAGCTTCTACAGGGTCAGGCTCCCAGCTGAAATGGCAGAATCACTCAGAAATTACATCATCTATATACAGTAAGAGCCAAAATTCGAAAGCAACTAAATTACACTTCAATCTTCAACTATAGCCTTCGATGCACATACCGCAACGCATTTATCCATGCTTGCTTGTCATCAGTGTGGAAATCGTCATCAAGACCAGTGTTCTCTTGATTTTCTTCATCTCTGTTTAATTCTTCAAGAAGGCTATCCCCAGTGTTTCCAGACACATTTGAATTCCCACCAGTGCCATCTGTAAGCATGGTCACAATGCACTTTATGGTGTCTTTCCTTCCCCTCAAATAGTCCCTTATTGGTTCACCAACTGATTCGAGGAAAACACCTGCTGGATCTATAGTCCGGAGTGCTTTAATCGTGGAAACATATTGATGCAAAATGTCATTGGTTGAGGCACCTGCAGTAAGTAAACGATAACGCAGTGCAGTGATAAATGACTCAACGAGCTTAGAATGCTGTCCAGTGTATTCAAGACATTGTTTCAAATCTTCAATCGCAGGAGAGCTGCAAAACCGCAAAAAGACAAAAAGTGGTCATGGTAAGCCACAATACAGCTCGTACAAGTTACTGAATTCCCCCTCCTTAACCAGTTAAATATCATGGTGGATTTCAACAACTGGAAAGCAAGGGAACCCCATGTTAAGACAAGCACATACCTGTCAGGATAATCCACAATAATCTCAAATAACTTGGCTATTCTTAAATCTTGCAAAGTTTCATAAGCAAAATACTCAAGTCGCAACTGCCATCTAACAAGTCCTTCTGATGGAATGTCGATTCCAGGATAAAATGTATTAGGGCATGAAGCCAAAGGTGACTTGAAACCAGATGAAGCACTATCATAACTAACAGTGTCACCAAGATAAGCAAGAAGAGCATGCAAGAACTGAAGAGGCACGGCCTGCAAAATACACATTGGAAATGATAACAGAAAACTTTGCACTTTGAAAACATAAAGTAAAGCCTTAACGTATGATTAAACCATTAATGTGCGACATAATTGTGGCTTCACAACTCTACAACAAAATGGAAAGACAGCACAAGCACGCGAAAGCAACCTGTATCCACCGCTTAATGGACTCCAAAAAAGAAACCCGGTAATCATCACCAGCAAGATCATGAACTTTGGCCTGCCACTCAAACAAGACAATTAGAAGTTAGAAAGACAAATGAAATAAAAAGTAAAATGTAATAGACGAAAAAAACAGCAGAGACTGTGATCACCTTTAGAAACAAAAATATAGCAGAGGCATAGGCATCTTCAGCCATAGATGTAAACCCGAGACTTCTAAGATCGCGAACAACCTTCCCAATGTTGTTCACCAATTTATTGTTGTCCAAGAACCTGCCTTGGGGATAGCACTCATCAATCTCCATCTGTCCACTCCTGTATGAGACTTTGCATTTGTCATCCACATCCATATCATCTGCACCATCATCCTCATCGTGGTCACGCGGGAATTCCCCGCCCATTATAGTACTCAGTTCCTCCAACCTTCCCTTAAAATACCAGTGGAGTACCTCTAGAATTCAGAAAATTTGAGGCATAAAAAATTTGCAGTAATTGCAGAACCAAATTAGAAAAAGGGAAATGTAAATCGATCAAAGTCGAGATTTTTATGAACTTTTCGGTACCTGGAAAATGTCGAGGGAGAGTTGCCATAAGAACCGAAGACACTGATAACTGGTACTTAGCAAAAAGCTGCGCTCTATAATCATCAGAATCATGGCTTCCTTGGTTGTAAGACTGCAAAGCGTGAACCAGAATCAATAAGCACTTCTCCTGGTACTGCTTTTCCATTGCTATTTCTTCCAGAGCGTTGTAGAACACTTCCTCCTCGATCGAACCATCGCCGTCGTACGCCTCGAAATGCCGCCAAAATTTCAAGGCGCCATTTTTCTCGAAGGTTCGCTCGAGAGCGCCGAGGAAGTAGTCGCGGAGGAGGGACTCGAGCCCGTGCTTGCAGAGGCCGTGCACGTGAGATACGATCTGCTGACCGGCGGAGAGGTCGCCGGCGCCGGTCAGAAGGGTGTCTGTTGCGGCGCAGAAGCCGCTGTAGCTTTCGAGGATTTCGTTGATGGAGACCTCGCTGAGCTTGTCGAGAACCGCTAGGTTACACACTGATGAAATTGAATCCGCCATTGCAGATGCCGCGGAAGCTCGAAACTGGAAACCCTCCAATTTACACGCTGCAGAGAGTTCAAACTTCAGAGTTCAGATAGTAAATAAACGACATACAGAACACGCTGTCGTTTTTGAAAAGGGATGTCGTTTACAGCGATTAGATTATAGTAACTTTACTGATTCAATTTCCGAGCTTTTGCTCGTCGACGATGAAACAGAGCGAAGACCCCGGAGCGTACAGGAAGATATTACTGGCGTCGGTCTCGGCGATGGTGGCGGAGACGACAACGTTTCCGGTCGACCTGACGAAGACGAGGCTTCAGCTGCACGGCGAATCGGTGTCGGTTGGGTCAACCCGGAGTACGAACGCGTTCCGGGTCGCCTCGGAAATCGTGCGGGAGCAAGGTCCGGTGGGATTGTACAAGGGCTTGTCACCGGCGATTCTCAGACACCTCTTCTACACGCCGATTCGGATCGTCGGGTACGAGCAGCTCAGAAGCTCGCTGAAGAGCGACGGTGGGTCCCTCTCTCTCCCCGCCAAAGCTCTCTCCGGTGGAATCTCCGGCGTCGTTGCTCAGGTAACTTGCTTTCTTGTTGTGCTTAACATGTTGGGTTTTCAATTTTTTTTTGGAATTTATAATTTTGATAAGTTATCTGGATTTGGGAATTTGGAAAATTCATAAAATTATTTAAAGAAGCTTTTTGCAGTGGACAATTAAGAAAAATGAAAGCTTGCGACTTCACATACAAAAACCCTACTGAAAAGTACAAGCTTTTTCGACATGATTGTTCTAGCCGTGCGGTTCCTTGCCAATCAAATGGTGCAATAATTGTTTTGATTTCTGCATTTGCTTCGGAAGTAATGATATGCTTCTGTTTACTGCTAGTAGTGCAGTTGGTAGCTAGCCCTGCAGATCTTGTTAAGGTAAGGATGCAAGCAGACGGTCGGACGGTGGCCCAAGGTATGCAGCCTCGGTATTCGGGGTGTTTCGATGCTTTGAACAAGATTGTACGAGCAGAAGGCGTTGGGGGACTTTGGAAAGGGGTTTTCCCTAATGTCCAAAGAGCATTCTTGGTGAACATGGGAGAATTGGCCTGTTATGATCAGGCAAAACGTTTTGTGATCGAGAATCGGATTTCTGAAGACAACATATACGCTCACACTTTGGCGTCGATCATGTCAGGCCTTTCGGCAACTGCTTTGAGTTGTCCAGCTGACGTGGTAAAGACGAGAATGATGAATCAATCGAGGAGCAAGGAAGGGAAGATTATGTACAACAATTCGTATGATTGTCTGGTTAAGACTGTCAAAGTTGAAGGTTTAAGCGCACTGTGGAAAGGGTTCTTTCCTACGTGGGCAAGGCTCGGTCCTTGGCAATTCGTCTTCTGGGTCTCGTATGAGAAGTTTCGACAAATTGCAGGATTCTCTTCCTTCTGATGAGTCTTTCCATCCGCTCTCACCTTTCAGGCTTCCATTGATAATACTACTCCATGTCAATTGAAGCTTATACAGAGCCAGCAAGCCCTTACGATGGGATTATCGATTTCGTGAGTTTTCGTTCTTTCTTTCTTTCTCTTTTAAAATTGTTCTTCTTTTGTCAAGCATTCAAGATTATTGCCTTCATAATATGCAATGAAGAAAGATTCACTTTTCAGTGAAATTCTGTTGTGTTTTGGAATTTGTCCCCTCAATATGTCCCAAAGTATTTGAAACACAAAACAATACAAAACAAACTCAAAACAAAACAGAAGAAGAATCAATTAGCCCTTGAACATTTCTTCTTGCAGAGCAAGTTAGTTTTGCAGAGGCAAGTTGCAGTTCACCCATTAGATTATTCCGTAGGAATATTCAGTGCGAAAATATCGGCTGCACTTTTCGTATGATCTCCTCTTTCTTAAGCAACTCCACCCTTGGAACCCTTCTCCGAGGTAATCTACTATTCAATTCATCATGTGAACAGTAACTACCATAATGAACACTAACTGCATTTTGCATCTCCACCGTTGCACTTGAATAGCCCTGGCAATAGGCAATAAAATATTATTAATTTTGATTCTTTGACAAAATGCAACATCTTCAAGAGACGTCTAATTCGTACTTGCATCAGTAGTCATTATGTTGAAAAAAATTGGATTGAAACTTTGAGAGAAAGATAGGAATGTGATTGAAAGTAGTTGAGAATATATGAAATTGTGGTGTAAGATAGATGATAATGAGAAGATATTTATAGAAAAGTAGAAACATTTTTCAGTGAAATTCTGTTGTGTTTTGGAATTTGTCCCCTCAATATGTCCCAAAGTATTTGAAACACAAAACAATACAAAACAAACTCAAAACAAAACAGAAGAAGAATCAATTAGCCCTTGAACATTTCTTCTTGCAGAGCAAGTTAGTTTTGCAAAGGCAAGTTGCAGTTCACCCATTAGATTATTCCGTAGGAATATTCAGTGCGAAAATATCGGCTGCACTTTTCGTATGATCTCCTCTTTCTTAGAGCAGCTCCACCCTTGGAACCCTTGTCCCATGCAATCCATTATTCAATCCATCATGTGAACAGTAACTACCATAATGAACACTAACTGCATTTTGCATCTCCACCGTTGCACTTGAATAGCCCTGGCAATAGGCAATAAAATATTATTAATTTTGATTCTTTGACAAAATGCAACATCTTCAAGAGACGTCTAATTCGTACTTGCATCAGTAGTCATTATGTTGAAAAAAATTGGATTGAAACTTTGAGAGAAAGATAGGAATGTGATTGAAAGTAGTTGAGAATATATGAAATTGTGGTGTAAGATAGATGATAATGAGAAGGTATTTATAGAAAAGTAGAAACATTTTTTTTTTAATTTTCAGATATTTTTTTTCTGATTTTTTACAATTTTAAAAAAAAATTATTCAAATAATTAATCTCTACCGTTGGATTAAAAAAAATTGAATTCCAACACTCCAGATTGTGTCACGTGTCACAACGGTAATTTTTCTTAATTTTAAAACTTTTTTTTCTTTTTTTTTTAATTTATAAAGCAGATTAATATCAACCGTTGATCTTAGATCGAATGGTTAATATTAAATCAGCTTTGTTTTAATTACCGTTGGAAATCGGACGGCTCGTATTAAAGAGCCGTTGGGATTGAACAGACCGTGGGAAGCCACGTAGCTTCCCAACGGTCATTGCGCGCGGGTCATTCAATCTGAAAACGTGTTGGCTGACGTGTCCTCACGCATGCGTGAGGGGCACGCGCCTGATACAAAAAAAAATAAAAAATAAAAGGGTTGACGCCAGGCATGACGTCAGCCTGACGTCACACCCCTCGGGCTGAAGGATTGGCAATCCCTCACGGGCCTGGCCCTCAAGCTCCCCAACGTTGGAGCCGAACCCACCGGCCCTTAGGCCCTTTCCTCTCGCCTGTCCCCCGAGCAAGGTCCAATGGTGGACTTGCTCTTACAGTTATAGATAGATTAGTTATATGTTCAAAGCTTTACACCCTGTGATTAACTTTAGCTGCCATTTTTTATAAAGCCTAAGTAGGAGATGAAATCCTGTATCAAATTGGTAGTTATGGGCCGCAGGCTCAGGATGTGTACTGTTTGAACTGGACTGAACTCTCAGCCCACCAATGCCTAACTCAACTCTTGAAGCTTTCTGTAGAAGTATTATTTATTGGTTTTTTCAGTTAAAATGGTTCATAAGATTTGCATAATATATAACTTTGGTCTCTGAGATTGTCCACCATCAATTATTTTGGTCATTACGTTAAAAAACTCCATTAAGTTAAGGGTATAACACATAACTTTGGTCCCGGAGATTTGCATAACACATAATTTTGGTCCCTGAGATTTGCATAAGACATAACTTTGGTCCCTAAAATTGTCCATCATCCATCATTTTGGTTATTCCATTAAAAAGCTCAGGAACCACTTAACGGAGTTTTTTAATGGAATAACCAAAATAATGGATGGTAGACAATCTCAAGGACCACTTCTATTGATTTTAAATCTCAGGGACCAAAGTTATATGTTATGAAAATCTCAAGGACCATTTTGGCTAAAAAAACCTTATTTATTTGGTGAAATTCATCCGAATTCGTATGCTAGGTATACGTATTATTTTTCTGCATAACAAATCTTGCCTTTACTAAGGAATCAAAATATAAGTTAGCCCTTCATTAAAATGGTTATGTATCTCGTACTTGAACACCTTGGTATCATATCACTAAAGAGTATGTTTATCCCATATCTAAACAACCATGTATCGTTTTGGTTCGTGACCTTTATTCGTGTGTCATTTCAGTTAGGAAATGGTGCTCTTTATCGTATTTTTCTTTTGTCAAAGAGGGATAGTTTATCTTAGACTTGGACAAAACCCCAAGGCGTTGGTTTAGTTCGAACTCCTAAGGATGCATTCCTTGGGACAACCAGCTCTGCTTTGGCGTACCGTTTGATTCGGGGGCCAAAAGTATGTTGTTGCCGCACATGATACTAGGGAGGGGGATTATTGATTACCTTTCAGATTTCAAGTTATGATCCCATAAATATAAGGGAACTTTAACGAAAAGCACCCGGTACTGTTTACTTTAACGAAAAACCACATTTTTACACTAAAAAGTCAATCCTGGTACTATTCACTTTACCCTTTATTTTGTCCTTATCATTAAAACTCAAAGTTTTCAAGCCCTTTTCATTAGTTAATGATTTCAAGTTATGATCCCATTGATTCTTCAAACTAAACGAACTGAAAGGTTAGATAGATCATAGATGATGAAGCAAAAACAACCAACTTGTAGAACCACCACCATAAAACGTTGTGATTGCCAACTGCCAAAGTAAACATGTAATCTTTACCCAAAAAAAAAAAGGGAACTTCAACGAAAAGCTTCTGGTATTGTTTACTTCAACGAAAAACTGCATTTTTATACTAAAAAGTCAATCTTGATATTATTTATTTTATCCTTTATTTTGTTCTTATCGTTAAAACTTAAAGTTTTCAAGTCATTTTCATTAGTTTTCCTAAAAAAAAAGGTAAACATATAATGAGGAACAGAACCACCATTCATTACTCTGCTCACCTCACTCACCACAACAATTTTTACATGACTCATCACTTTTTTTCTTCTCACTCAAGTGCGCAGAAAAATAAAATAATGAGCGGAAATCATTTCCCATAATTTATAAAACCTCATCACCTCCAAGCTTATCCGCTAACGAATGATAAAACCTACTTTTGGAAAGAGACATCATACACGAGTAAAATCTTGGACCTATAAACATACATTTCATGCACTGTGGAGGCTGTACAACACTATACGCATGCACAAATTGACCCTACATACATTAAACGACATTCTGTTAATCGAAGCCGAGTACAATGGCTAGAGTGAAATAACGAATGATAAACCTACTTTTTGGAAAGAGACATCATACACGAGTAAAATCTTGGACCTATAAACATACATTTCATGCACTGTGGAGGCTGTACAACACTATACGCCTGCACAAATTGACCCTACATACATTAAACGAGATTATGTTAATCGAAGCCGAATACAATGGCTACAGTGAAATACATCCGTTTTACAGAGTACATCTTTGTATCATACTAGTACACGTAGGAGGACTGCAAGCTTCCGACGACCTATGTTTGGATGAAGTTTTTCCAAATTCTAAGAGATTGAGGCCAAGTTAGTAAGGAACGGATCATAAAAATTAGATAGGAGGGATTAGAAAAGCCCTCTGTATATAAAAGGAATTACAAAGACACGCAAAAGAGATTAGCAAATGATTCATATGTGAAGGGATTGCTAACTTGACCTTAATCCTTTGGAACTTGGAAAACCCTCACCCCAAACATGTATAGCCTTAATTACTTAGCATATATTGTTACTTTAGAAATTTAGAATCATCACAAAAATGGGAGATGAGACTACCAAAATAGGTACATTAAGAACTTGATCACACATACTTGAAGACCTAATTAAGTTGTACGTGAAGTTGAAAATAATATCGGTGCAATTCGGATGAATAAGGACACGAGTCATTGAGTCCCAACAAATTACAGTGCCCCATATTTAAAGACATAAAAGGTGCCACAGAGACCAAGTTAGTTATTAGGTAGCATAGCAAGCAGTGTACTTATGTTTCCAGAAGATGGAGGTCGCCCTACATTCATACAAGTAGCGACAACGTTGCTTGCCCTTCATTCATACAAGTAGCGACATTAACGTTGCTTGGCACAGACATAAAACTAATGCGCAATTTATGTTGGGATAGTCTCCTTCTGTTGCCCACCCACCTTCCTCGATCCTCGCTAGGCAGTTGGTAGTTGGAAGGGATGTGATGGGGAGCTGCGAGGAGGGAGAAACAAAGGAGATTATATGAAAATGAAAATACTAATGGTGTATTTTGATAATAATTTTGGTGTTAGTTTTTATTCTTGTGTTCGAGATTGGAAGGAAGTATATAGGAGAAATGAGGGGTTATAGAAGAGCGGAGGAAGGATGGTGGAAGACAGTGATCAATCCAGGAATTGAACTTTTGCGGGTCCAGAGTTAAAACAATATAGAAACAAAGCGCGAAGCCCAAAAAAAACTTTGGTTATATTCATTAGGACATTTTGTCGAACACTTAGTAGGCTTATTGTTGTCAGTCAAACCATGTTGTACACATGTCAATAGA